TGAGCTTCATGGCTTTGTAACCTGGGGGTTGTTAACACCAGTGTCCAATTTAGAAGAAATTATTAAACTATATATCCTCTTCCTTTTTATCATATTCTATTTCAAAGTGTTGTCACTGCTATTAGTTACTTTATTTTAGAAAAATATTTTATTTTATTTTTTGCATATAGTAAAACTTTATGTTATTATCTCAAAACGATTGTTTTTTAAAGCAATTTAAATGAAAATATAAAATTATTATGTATTTATCCATGTAGTTACAGTATCTAATGCTGTCTATGCCTTTGTGTAGATATTGTTATTTCCATCTCCATCATTTTCTTTTCTGCCTGGAGGATGTCCACTGAGATTCCTTGTAGTGTGGACCTGCTGGTGTGAATTCTTTTTTGTCTAAGAAGGTCGTTATTGCTCCTTCAGTTTTGAAAAATATTTTGTCTGGATATTCTAGGTTGAGAGGTGTTCTTTTCTCAGTTATTTAAAGATGTTGCTACTGTAGACTTTTGTGTACATTATTTTTAAAGAGAAATATTCTATTTGTTCCTTGAACATAACATTTTTCTCTAGCTATTATTGATATTTTCCTTTTAAAACTACTTTTCAGAAATTTGATTATGGTGTGTCTTGGTGTAGTTTTCATTTTGTTTTACATTGTACTTGGAGTGTACTGATTTCCTTGGATCTACAGGTTTATAGTTTTCACTTTATTTGGAAAAATTTTGTCCATTATTTCTTCTACCAAGCCCAGGTTTTTAGGCTACTCTAATTACATATTTTTTAGTCCCCTTGATCTTCTCCAAAGTTCAGTGATGCTTTTTATTTTTTCAAAATTCTTTCACTTTCTTGTTTCATTTTGTATAGTTTCTATTTCTATGTCTTCTCTAGTGTTTTCTTCTGTACTGTCCAACTGGGTATTAATACCATCTAGTGCCTTTTTCAACTCAGATATTGTAGTTTTAATCCCTAGAAGTTCAGTTTGGGTCTTTGTTGTACCCTCTTTGGATCTTAACATCTTGGAAACCTGAAATGCAGTTATTATAATAACTATTTTAATGTTCTCATTGGTTAACTCTAATATATATGCCAGTTCTAGTTTGGCTTTGTTTGATTTTTCTTATTTTGGTTATTATTTTAAAGCTTCTTTGTAAGTAGTCTTTGATTGGGTGTAGGATCATGAATTGTACCATACTTAATGTTGGATATTTTTGTATTCCTGTAGACATTTATGAACTTTGTTCTGGAGTGCAGTTAAATTACTTGGATGTTGTTTATCCTTTGGGTCTTGCTTTTAAGATTTGTTAGGCAGGACCAAATAGTGTTAATCAAGAGCTAATTATTCTCCACCACTGAAGCAAGATTTTTCTATGCGAATATCATCTGAATATTTTTCTGTATGTCCTGCAAAATATGAGATTTTCAGAATTTTATTCCATTAAGGCTTCTTTAACAACAACAACAACAACAACAACAACAATAAACAATGACAAAAACTTCATAGACTGGGTGGCTTATAAACAACAGAAATCTATTTTTCAAAATTTTTGGTTGAACATCCAATCTCAAAGAGCTGGCAATTTGGTGTCTGATGAGATCCCACTTACTGGTTCATAGACAGTCATCTTGCTGTGTTCTCACATGGCAGAAGAGGCAAGGGAGGTCTTTGGGGTCTTTTTTTAAAAAAAGCAAGGGCACTAGTTCTATTCATGAGTGCTCCACAGTCATAACCTAATCACGTCCCAAAGGTCCCCCCTCCAATACCATCACATTGTGAATAAGAGTTTAATTTATGAATTTGAGGGGATACAGAGCAATAGCACCTGGTCTTACTGGTGGGTACAAACGCTGTTCTGTACCTTTTGTGTCCTGGGCACTGATTTATCTTATCCTCTTGGATGACTCTTTCTCAGCCCTGGGTAGTTTCCTCATAGACATGTGTCTGTTATTTCTCTGCTGAATACTCGATGAGAAACGCCACCTCCCACCCACCCCCCCGCACCATAGATCGGTAGAAGATCTCTTCTTTCTGGTACTCTGTGCTTCAAATTCTAGCATGCTTGGTCTCCTAGATTCTCAGCTTTTTCTCTCCAACTTGGGAAGGTCATTGCTAGTTCTCATAGCTAGGTTCCTATCCCTCCATCATGGCCTGAAAACGTTTTCAAAGCCATTGTCTGGGCAATCATAGGCCCACCACATTTGTTTTCCATCCAGTGATTTCATCAAATCACTGTCCTTCACTGCCTGATGTTTAGTATCTTGAAATCTGTTGTTTCATTATTTTGTTTGATTTTCATGTTTTCAGACAGGAGGCTAATCCTTGTCTAAATTATTCACTCAAAAGTGAAGATTTCTAAGCAAAAGATTTTTTTTGAATAACTTAATTTTCTGTATGTGACTAGTTTTCTTTTTAAAAGACAAATCATATTTAAAGCTTAGTGAAGTTAATCTTTAATCCATTAATAATAGTTATTTTGCCATAAAACACCTCCTTAGAAGCAAAATTCTTTACCAGATTATTTCTTGTTCTATTCAGAATTTAGGAGGTATTAAAAATAAAGCTACTATGAATATTTGTGTCAAGTGTTTGCATGGGCATATGTTTTAATTTCTCCTAGGTAAATAACAAAGAATGGAATGCCAGGGTCATACAACAGGTGTTTGTTTAACTTTTTAAAGGAACTTATGTATTCCTTCTTCAAGGTAGCTGTGCCATTTTATATTTCCATCAATCCACATGTTCATCAGCAGTGAATGGATAAATGAATTTTGATGTTTTTGTACAATGGAGTACTATGCAGTGATAAAAAATGAACTATCGATACCTGCAACAACATTGATATATCTTGCTATAAAATGTCAAGTGAAAGGTGCCAGACAGAGTTACAAGGTATGATTTCTTTTATAAAACATTCTAGGATGTGGAAACCAATCTATAATTTACACAGGGGTAGGATAAAATTTGGAGGGTAATATATGTCTGTTTTCTTGATTAAGATGATGGTTTCACAAATATATAAATATGTCATATTCACAAAATTATACAATTGAAGTATCTACAGATTATTTGTATCTTAATTCTACTGCAGTTAGTATATTAAAAACAGTTCAGGAGGAAAGCTACACACAAATATACATTCACAGAAATCTTGTCTTCGCAACTTCAGAAAAATCCAATCTCAACTTACAATTCCTTCTGTCTGTGAAGATTCAAGATCTTGAGTTGAGATACAATGTGGAAGCTTTCTCCTTGTGTTCTACCTACCTCAGGTGGAACTGGTTTGTCTTTTCACAAGGGCTACTTTTTGAATGCAGAGTGCTGCAGCTGGGTATGCATGCATGTGCTTATGTTTTTATGGATGCATGTGTATGGGGGGATAGGAGAGTAGGAGCAGAGAGCTCCCTTGGGGTGAGCCCTATTTTGACTGTAACCTAGGTAATGTTTCATCTTCTAAAGTCTCATGAAAGTTCAGTTTCAGATACTGTTTCATTAGCCCATCTTTGCTCACACTTTTGTGGGAGTTGGTGTGTTCCTCGAATTCAGCTCAGTGCCCTGAAAGATGCCAAGCCTGGAATACCCATCCTACCTCGGTGATGTATTGGATTTCTACCCTTGAAAGATGTGACTCAAAATTTCCCATTTTGACTCTTCAACTTAGAATCTGGATTCCTCTAAATTGAAGGATGATATTGACAATTGTAGAGGACTTTGTGGATTGGGTTTATTGTTTCTATATTGCTTTCTAAAATTTTTTGAAGACATGAGTACATGTATTATGATTTTACTCTACCATCTTGTTTAAGAAACCTGTAATTCTTGCATTGGTGTTTGATTTAACAGACAGAGTGACGAGGTTCCTGGGAAGATGTAAGAACAAACTGAGAAAAACCTAAAAGCCTTTGCTGACTGTGGGGGAATGGGTGCTACTGAGTGGTGGAGAGGCATGAACGGGGACAATTCATGCTCTGCGGATGAGCCTCTTTATGTTGCCCATGTCTGGCTGTAACTCAGAGACTGGTTTGTTTAACAAAGATAGAGTTCTATCATTTCTCACAAGCCCCGTAGTTACCAAAGTTTGCTGAACATTTATAGTTAAGTATGAAATAGTATCAAGAGTAATCATGTTTTTAAGATATCTTGATGTATAGTATGATTTTTTAACACCAAGAAAAGCCTAATAAATACTAAGGAATGAATACAAGCCTGTATTATTAGAGAGAAAATGAAGTAGTTTAGAATCCCGATGATTTTGGATTTTCTGAGTGTCACTTCCTTATTGATGTAAAGAAGACAGTCATTCCTGGGCAATAATCCCATAAAGTGTGATTGGGATTACAAGGTGTGTGTGTTTGGGCACTTGCAAACAATTTATTAATAGATAAATAAATATAAATTATGAGCATCTATCATTCAGGAGTTTGGCTTTTCTGGGTTCATTCAGGAAACGTGAATGCTTTTGAAAGAAAAAAATCTTTGGATAAACTATGGAAATGTCCTGTCAGTCTTCCTGTATTGCACCTCAGTGGTGACAATTTTTGTGCTTATCAAACTCCATCTACTAATGTAGATATTTGCTATATATTAGAGTTCTAAGCATTGAGTTTTTAATAGCATTGATAACAACTGAAATTGGTAAACAAATTGGGTAGAGATGAAATAAAACAAGGATTGCAAAATAATGAAAGAGAGTATGTCTTTATTTGCATGTTAGCAAATGAGAGTTCAGTTTTTCTGTCACCATCAAGTATGAGAAACTTCATTTTATGTTGAGCATGTAGAAAACCTGGACTAGAGTGCAGCTAACTCTCTGGGAGAAAATGATTTTTATAAGGAGAGCTACGTGCCTGCCCATTGGCACACCTTAGTGCTTTCTGACTTGATATTGAACCTATGATTTTTAAAAAGAAATTAAGTGCACGTACAAGGAGTAAGTATACATACTATTTCAAGGTGGTAAATCAAGACGTTGTTAACATTGCAATTAGACATTGAAGCTCTCTCTGCAGACATGGGAAGTGCCTTGCATAACTTCTTCATCATTGTAGTAAATACAGAATTTATAATTGGTATTGTGGGGAATGGATTTATAATACTGGTGAACTGCATTGACTGGCTCAAGAAACGAAAGATCTCCTCAGTTGATCGAATCCTCACTGCTTTGGCAATCTCCAGAATTTGTGTAATTTGGATGGAAATGATGACTTGGTTTGCAAAGGATTTTTATCCATCTTCATTTATGAATAAAAAGGAAGCTATATATGTTATTCTGGGGGTGGTAGCCAGTTATTTGAGTAACTGGTTTGCCACAGGCCTCAGCCTCTTTTATTTTCTCAAGATAGCCAATTTCTCAAATCCTGTTTTTCTTTGCCTAAAGCACAGAGTTAAAATGGTAGTTCAGGTAATGTTGCTGGGAGCATTAGTGTTCTTGCCTTTGAATATTAGTATGGCAAGTATGTATATTAACATCCAGATACATCCATATGAAGGAAATACGACTTTGAGTTTCAAAAGGAGTAATACTGAAAACTTTACAAAACTGATCATATTAATTGTGGGAGACATTCTACCCTTTTTAATATTCCTGAATTCCTTTATCCTGTTAATTGTCTCCCTGTGGAAACATCTCAAGAATATGAAGCACAGTGCAAAGGGATTCGGAGATCTCCACCTCAAGGCCCATATAAGAGCCATGAAAAGTGTGATGTCTTTTCTCTTACTGGTTGTTGTTTATATCCTGTCTATTTTCATAACAGTTTTCTGTTCTGAGATGATGCAGAACAAACTGGTCTTTTGGCTTGACCAGAGTATTATGAATTTTTATCCTTCAGTTCACTCGTTTATCCTGATTCTGGGAAATGGGAAGTTAAGGAAGGCTTCCCTTGCAGTGCTGCAGCAGTGGAAGTGCTGTTGGAGAGCATCATATGTGACCTAGAAGGAAAACAATTAAATTTTTGTATGGTATTTCACCCTTCTTGGGGGTTCTACTGTAATTCGTAATATTAAATAATTTTAAATGTTTATTTGGAAAAGATTCTTTTCTATGCTTATCCAATGTTAGTTACATGTATACAGGTATGCATATATTTCACATATTTATACAAATAAAAAAGTAAATGGATTATCTAATTATAAGAGTTTTGTCAGCAGCAAATGATAAAAATAGTATTTCAGTTCTCACTTCTTTGGAAAATTTTAATAAAAATGTTAAAAATATAGCCCTGGCTGGTGTAGCTCAGTGGATTGAGCTCAGGCTGCGAACCAGACATTGCAGTTTCGATTCCCAGTCAGGGCACATGCCTAGGTTGCAGGCCATGGCCCCGAGCAACCGCACATTGATGTTTCTCTCTCTCTCTCCCTCTCTCTCTCTTTCTCTCTCTCTCTCTCTCTCCCCCTTTCCTCTCTAAAAATAGATAAATAAATAAATAAAAGAAGACATGTTAAAAATATACATGGTAGATATATATTTACTAAAATGTGAAAGTTATACTTTTGTGCATGTCAACTTTCCAATTGTAAGAATAAATTTATAACTATTTGTTAGCAGTGTTTCAGAAGCAAGAAAGAACCTGTATACCACTCACTCATTTCACTTTATTACATTTTCATTTAATGATTCACAGTACATAGATTTATATATTATCAGGAAACTGCAATTTTTTTTCTATTCAATATTTTGTGTAAACTGTCATATTAGAGGACTGTTATTTAAACATATCTCTTATGAATCCACTTATATCCAGCACCTTTTGGGAGGAGTCAATGCTCTGTTAAATATCAGAATTTTTATTTAGATTTTAAGAACTTTAACATATGTTTAACATATTTTAATGTCATTTTGTACATCATAAGTCATTTTGTATTTTATGTCTGCATAAACCAATTTTTATTTTTAGAATGTAGAAAAAATGTCTTCTCTTTTCAAGCACTTTTTTGGGGCTTTACCTGGTTACTTCTAAGACGTTGCTTCTATTTGTTTCCTTCTGTAATTTAAGAATTTAAAAGACTTTAGTTAATTTTATTGTATTTTTAAGAAGTTATTGTTAGTCCCAAATATATGAGTCCTTCCTTTTCATTCACTTAATATTACTTTTATTTGTTTTAATTAATTTTTGTTTCTTCTCTTGGTTTTATTTTTTCTCCTTTTCTAATTATTTAAGTTTATTTCCTAATTTATTTTCAGTAACTCCTCATTGTGTTATAAAATCATCTGTCTAAAATGTCTTCTAATTATTATGTTAACCAAAACACATGTGTTTTCACATGTATACTTACAGTATTTCATTTTCAAAATATGGATAAGTTTAAGTTTTCTGTCTAACCAAATATAATGTATATATGTTAAATAAATATTTCAAGAACAACAAGTGGTTTGATTTGTATTTGATTTCTACTTTTAAATTATTTTCAAAGGTTATGATAATCTGACTTATAAAACTACACTATGATTTAATTTTATTTTATTTACTTTGAATTTGATTAAGAAAGAATGTGTCTTTTGCTTTAGTTGCAAGATTTGACATATATAAGTATAGTATTAAGTATATTAATTATGCAAAATATTAGTTCTCTTATTTTTGTCTCATCTGTTAAAGAAAAATGTCTTTGAAACTTCTTCAATTATGGTATATTCATCATCTTCTGTAATTTCCAATAGTTTTTGTTAACTATTTCTTCAAATCTTATTTGACATATAATTCTCCTACAGGGACAAGCTTCAAATATTGAAACAATTGTAGAATCAATCGCTGGGGTGGAGGGGAGTGGTGGGAAGAAAATGGAGACAAGTGTATTTGAATAACAATAAAAAAGGAGAAAAAAGAAAAATACCTGAGAAGATTAACTACCACTGGTTGCTAAGACATTAGTTTTGATTGGAGGGAAATAGAAAATTGGGGATATATTTTGCTTTTATAAAAAAAGAAAAAGCATTGTATTTTAATAAGTTTGAATAACTTATGTAAATAAGAAAGGAAGGTATAAGTCTGAAGATTATAGATGGTATAGTGGGTTAAAATGGCGACAATTTCTTTGACACTTCTCCAGTGATGAGGGGGGCTACTTCCTCTCTCTGAATCTGGCAGGTGCTGTAAATGCTTTGATCAGTAGAATGTGGTACAAGTGGTGCTGTGCCAGCTTCTAGGCAGAGCTTTATGGTACTGGCATCGTTCATTCCCTGTCTTTTTGGACATTCACTTTGGGAACCCCAGACACCATACTGTGAGTAGCCAAACCGTAGGAAGAAGCCACTGCAAGCATCTCAATGGGCAGGCCCCTGCTGAGCTCCTCGCTGAAAACCACCAACTGCTACCTCTTGGACTGAACCATCTTAGGTGTCCAGCCCTTTTAAGCCTTCAGATGACTCTGCTCCCAGCCATCATCTGATGGCAATGAAAGGAAAGACCACCATAAGAACTGCCTGGCCAAGTCCAGGTGACCCACAGAACTAGCTGTTTTAAGCAGTTGTTTTAATCCACTAATTTTTAGGGTGGTTTGTGAGATATGAATAGACACTTAGAGTAGGTGCAGAAAGGAATAAAAACAATTCATAATTTAATTCCAAACTATGTGCCATATGCAGTTGATGTTTTATTGAGTTGTACACTTGAACCTTGCATGGTTTTATAAATCAATGTCACCCCAATAAAGTAAATAAAAATAAATTAATAAATAAATAAATATCTGTATGACACTCCTCCTCCCAAATTGCAAAGCAAGAAAAGAGAAAAGAAAGTAAAGAAAATGATAACTAGTAGAACTCTGTTTTTACTGGTAAAAACAAGTCCAATGTTATCAAAAGTTGTCATAAATTTAAATAAATTTACTTTATTTTCTATCAAAAGACAGAGTTTCATATTAAATAAGAAAATAAAGTGCAATTATACTGTTTCCAAAAGGTATACCTACGGCAGAAAACCACAATGGTTGGAAATAAATGGATAAAAACGCACCACATTCTCATGATCACAATGATTGCTGCTTATGTTTCAATATCTATTATCCTAGCTTTTGGTAGTGACAGAATCTCACTGTTCTCTTGAACATATTTGTGCCACAAATGCTTATCTTTTTACTTTTTAGTTAGTGACAGGAGAGATAGGGACTCTACAATATGGTTAAGCTACTAGCATCCAATTGCTTGTTTGCTTATATTTGTCATATCTAGTTGAATTATAGCTAGCACGCTATCCAAACAAAAGTGTCAGACAAGCTAACATTTAAAGCAAACAAAACAAATGGTTAGAGAAATGTTATTTCAAAATATCTAATAATAATAGGAGACATCTATGGAAAAAATGTAATAATTCTGAATTTGAACACACCTAACAATGCATTATCTAGGTGGATAAAACAAAACTAAGCATCACAACAAAAAACTGATGAATCCAAAAACAGTGAGAATTTTTAAAAACATTTTTTTCTTTTATTCAATCTAGAGAGAGGGGAAGGGAGGGAGAAAGAGAAGAGAGGGAGAGAAACATCAATGTCAGAGAGAAGCATCAATCGGTTGCCTCTTGCACATACCTGACTGGGGGCTGGACCTGTGCCCTTTGCAACCAACTGAGCCACACCAGGCAGGGCCCCAAATAGTGAGAATTTAACACACATTTAATAAACTGATATATCAAACAGAATTAATAGTGACATAAAAATCTGAATAAGATAATTAGCAAAATTGGTCAAATACTTTTATGTGAACTCTATACTGAGAGAAATCTATATACAGTCCTTTTAAAAATACACGAAACAGTCACACACCTGGGCCATGCATAGTTCAACAAAGAGTGTCTCAACAAGTTCTGTAGAACAGATATTATATAAAATATAATGCAAAAAAATGTTAAAAATTAGATTTTGAAATGAAACTACTCTCTATTAATTAGATTTCTAAGTAAAAGATGATATTTGGAATTCAAAAACAAAAAAATCTGTATAGTCAAATGAGCAAGTCAGCTAAAGCTGAAAATTTACATCCATTGTTTTATATAGTAGGAAAAACTTTCTAAACAAATGAGTCACATATTCAACTCAAGAACTAAAAAGAAATGCAAATCAGGGTGGCCCTCCCAAAAGTGTAAAGAAATCAAAACAAAGCTGCATGGCTTTTTATGACTTAGCTTCCAAATTCCTGTAGTGTCATTTCTGCTACTTTTAGTAGTTGAAGTAGCCACGAACTGTCCTAGGTTCAAGAAGAGGGAACACGTACAGTTTTCCCCAGCTATCCGAAAGAAGACAATCATTAGGAATCATATAAATCTATAATGGTACAGCTACAATCAATCAATCAATCAATCAGTCAATGAATGGTGCACTTACTGCAGAGATTTCCTATCAACAGACATGTCAAGGACATGGAGACCCTGCCTGTGCATGAGCACTTACTTCTATAGTAGGATGCATAGTAGGAATTTTGGGGAAAGGATTCATTGTGTAGTAAACAGCATTGACCACATCAGGAACTGGAAATTCTCTCAGATTTATTTTATTTTTACCTGTTTGGCCACCTCCAGGATATGATTTCTGTGGGTATATAAGAAACATGTATAAAGGACCCATGGACAAAGCCAAAGGGGGGAAAGATTGAGGGTGGGAGTTGGGGGTGGTGTGGTGGGGGGAAGTGATGATAGGAAAATGCAGACAACTGTACTTGAATGAGAATAAAAAAATTTAAAAAAGAAAGTGAATGGGATTTCATTAAATAATAGTAATGGAACACAGACCTCATTTGATGAGAGTCCCAAAACAAAGAAACAAAGAACAATAAATGTTTCAAAGAAAAACAAAACAGGGACAATGACTCAGATTGCAGAATTATACTTAATAAGATACATTCCTCTTAAAAATAGGTAATTAGAAAACAGGTCAAAAATACCAAGACGAAGAAAAGGCATAGAGCCTTGGAATCTGAAATGATGTAGTCCTCTTGGTCAGAGG